CAATCGACTGAGCCACCCAGGCGCCCTTGTTGCCTTTGCTTTTGGTGTCACATCCATGAAATCACTGCCAAATCCAATGTCACGCAGCTTTTGTCCTACGTTTTCTTCTGAGACTTTCGTGGTTTTAGGTCTGTGATCCATGTTGAGCTGACTTGTGTGTGGCGTGAGGCAGGGGTCCCACCCCGTTCTTCTGTATGTAGACGTGCGGTTTTCCCAGAGCTGCCCGCGGAGGAGGCTGCTTCTCCACCAGCACGGGGTCGTGGTCCTCTCGTCGGGAACGGCGGGACCGCACGCGTAGGGACTTGCGTCCAGGCTCTCTGTTGTCTGGGCTGTGGGGCTCCTTGGGGCTAGGGCCACACGGTTTGGTGACTATACTCTGTAGCAAGTTCTGAAATCGGGAGGTTGCACAGGGCGTGTTCTAAAGCCGCAGTGGAACTGTAGCCCCTGGCATCGAGGTGGAAACAGACCCTCAGAGCGGCAGCTAAATGCGCCTGCTGAGGGCACGGAGTTGGCACAGTGCCCCGGGCATCGGGCAGGCCGCGAAAGGCACGTTAGGAAGCCGAGATTTCAAGGCAAACGTGACTGACAGGCTGCAGTGGTTGTTCGTCCCGACGAGAGCCAGCCTCGTAAGAGGGGCTCCCGGCAGCTCTGAGCACAGGCTCGCAAAGCCCGGGTCACGGTGCAGAGCTCTGGGGGGCACTCGGGCTGGGCAACATCAGCCCCCGTGGAGGCTTCACTGAGCGGGGCGGCCTCAGCGGCCTCAGCGATCCAAGGACGTCGAGGAGGGCTCACCACGTACCCGGTGGGGGCTCTGACGGCCGTCACCGCTCCGGATTCTTCTCCTGTTGCTGAGGAGGAAACTGAGGCACAGGTAGGTTCCAGGAGCAGGTTTGACCTTCATGAGGTTCCTGTGAAGCCACCAGAGAGGGTGGGTTTGCACGGCCGTCGGTGCCGCCGGCCGCAGGCTGGGCCCCCACACGCCAGCCTCCCGCTGTCCCAGCTCCGCTCACGGTGAAGCTGCCATACCGGGGGTGCCTCCCAGCGTGGGGTCCGCGAACTTCGGCCGCAGCCCCGGCAGCCGTGAGCGCCACACCCCTCCCTTCTCAGTAGAGCAGGCCCCCCACCTGGGCGCTTGGGACATTGGGGCCGTGTAACTCCCAGGGGCGCTGTGCCCGCAGGAGGTGAGGCAGCACCCCCGGGCCCCCCCCCCGAGGGGTGCCAGCGCCCGCCTGCCCCCCGCCTGACCGCCGCAGGTGGCTCTGGATGGCGGCCACCGGCCCTAGAGCCCACAGCCTGAGGGGAGCCTGGGCGGGGGCAGGGCTCACAGTGCGGGCCACCCCTCACGGGATCGCCCAGGCCTTCCGCCGGCTTCGGCCCCGGCCATCCTGGGAACTGCCACAGCCGGTGGTCACCCCCGACTTGGCAGGGCCGAGGGGCCCCTGCCCCAGCCCGATGCTGACGCTCCGGCACCAGGTTCGGGGGGAGAATCAGTCCCCTGCTGTGCAAAGCCAAATGTTCGCACCACAAAGGACGTCCCCCTGCCAGCCAGCCATCTGCACCAGGCGGCCTCTCCGAGGACCGTGTGCACGGCTGGCTGTGCTCGGGGCCCCGGCCTCCCAGCAGCAGCGCCAGCCGCCGGGGCCCCTCCCAGCGCCTTCCAGGAGAGCCCGGGCCCGACCCGCCTTCCCCTCCCGTCCGTGCAGACTCTGGGGGCCCGCTGGCTGAAAGTGAGCTCTGTTTGTCGGCAGCCCTGCGGCTTTTGCGCTTCACACACTTGAGATCAGTGCTTGACGATCCAGACACGCATCGCAGCTCAGAAACCACACAGGAGCCCTGACGGTGACGGCAGCCGCGCGTCGCCGCAGCAGCCAGACTGAAATTTATAACAGTGACCTGGGCCTCGTCAGGCCCTGGTGACAGGGTGCCGCGTGAATCGCTGCTTACTCACCAGTGAGCTTGGCGAGGTTGGGTGGATTATGAAATACAGAAAAGGTCAGACAGTAGGAGTTTGTCTAGACATTCTATTTTGATCCTGCCCTCCGTGTCTCTGCGGCAGCCTTGCACACGCCGATATTTTAGCGATATTATAAAAAGCATCGTTCTCATCTCTAACCGGGGACACACCAACACCGAGGTGCCCAGGGGAGACCCCTCAGGAGGGCAGTCTCCTCTCAGGCCTCTTCCAGCCACGCCCGGCTCCTGGGAGGGACGCACGCCGGGAGGAGACCAGGCCTTCGGGAAGTCTGTCCAGGCAAACATGCCAAGACACAGGAGCGGCTCATCCTCCCTGGGCCTCATGGGCAGGCTGGCCGTGGTCCACCGCGGTCCCTTCCGCGGGCTGAAGAGGGGACGTCTCCCAGTGCCCGCCGTCCCATCGTGAACTGAAGGAGACACGGGGGTACAGAGAATGGGGGAGACGGACAGAGTGTGGAGTCCCGGCAGCCCTGCGCCCGGCCGAGGTTCCTGGGGGGCTGGAGGTCTCCGCCCAGTGGTTCTTACGCCCAGGACGTGACGCCCTCTGCAGACAGTTTTGGTTGCCCAGACTTGGGCGGGGTGGGGCGAGGGGGCTGCTGGCCTTGGAGGGCGGAGGCCGGTGTGCTCAGCACCCCGTAGGGCACGAGACACCCACGGCGGCCACCCAGGCTGGTCAGCGGTGCCGACGTGCGAAGCCCCAAGTCGGGAACCAGTCCAGGTGATAGAGGAGAAAAACCGTCTGCCCGCGAGACCATCTTGGAGGGCCGATCTCGTTCCTGACGTTTCCGTGACCGGTTTCACTGCTACGCGCCCCTTCCCCTGGACCGGCCCCGACACCGTCCCCCCAGGCCGCCCCGGACTCCCCGCCCACCCGGCTGCAAACCGACAGGGAACGCGGGCGCCGTGGGGGCCTGGGGAGGCGGGCCAGCACTCACCACCTGGGAGCACTGAGAAAACATGAGGCCCATCCAGGCAGAGTGTGAGGGACCCGGTTTGGGTTCGTCCTTTCTAGTGCTCATGCGAGTGGCCAACAGGGAGTCTGTTCTCTGCGGGCACCCTGGCCCCCTTGTGGCCCTCTGCAGGGGGGCTCTCTGGGCCTGGGGAGGCCCACGGGAGGCCCACGGGGGGGCTCATGCCTTTGGAGACCAAGAGGACGCGTGGCCTCGTGAGCACGGCCACCGCAGAGCTCGGCCGGCACGTTCCCTTCACCCCTCTGACTCCGGCGTCCCTGGACCGCAGGAGCCCGGTTTTCCGAACAACTCCAGGCAGTGCGCGTCTGTTGTGAGGCCTGCCCCGCGAGATCCCCACCCGGTCCCTGCGCCATCAGCAGGACAGAACTTCCCCAGGCCACCCGGTTCGAGCACACGGTGCGGGGCTCCGTGCAGGCGCAGGGAAGGAGTGTGAGTCTGGGCCCCACGCAAAGAGCCCCTGAGATGAGTCCGCGGCCAAAGCACTTTGTGGGGCACCCGGGGCCCCAGGTGGTTAAGTGTCTGTCCCTTGATTTCGGCTCAGGTCACGATCTCACAGTCCATGAGTTCGAGCCCCACGTCAGGCTCTGTGCTGACAGAGTTGAGCCTGCTTGGGATTCTCTCTCTCAGACCCTCCCCTGCTCATGCGCTCTCTCTCTCTCTCCCTCTCTCTCAAAATAAAAAAAATAAAACTTTCAGAGCACTTTGGGAGGCGACCCCACCAACGCTGGTAGGGGAGTGAGGCCGTGAGCCAAGGAGGAAAGGAAAGGCAATACACCACGTAGGTCAGCAGCGAGGAGAGTAGGGTTGCATCAGTGCACAGCCCGGAGACGATACGCATACAGTCCTGACGTCAGAGTCCCCGGGGAGGGGCCGAGGCGTCTCCAGCCGGGTGGGGAGGGGATTCCACGGCACGGGGGCCCCCGCACTATGCAGCCCCATCCCTGAGGACCCGCCTGCAGTGCTCCTGTCCCCTCGCCGGCCTCTCAAAGCCCTGGACTCTGAAATCTGTGTTTGCTGAGCCAGGAAGCAGAGGCAAGGGCTTGTTCTCTGTCCTGTTGCCCGTGGATGGCCTCCCTCCTCTGGACCCAGCTGATACGGATGATGGGCCACCCGGAGGGTGCGGGGCTCACGGCTCGGGGCTCGGATAGCTCCTGTGATGCCTCCCCCGCCGTGGTTCGCTCCCCCCACGCCCCTGGGCCTCTGCCTGGGCCAGACAGGTTTTCATCTGAAACCGTCTCATTTCGTGAAGAATCCTGCCGAGCGGCTGGCGGCCGCCCCCGCCCCACGAGTACTCACCTGCCCGCTCCCCCTCCCCCTCAGGCTGCGAGGTGCCCGCCCTGGGCAAGCTGCCAGCAGCCCTCGAGCCCACGTCTGCTCTCGGGTGGCCACGTGGGCCCCGCTGAATCTGGAAGGGTCTGGCCCAACTTGGCCGTCAGCCAAGCTCCTGGCAGACGCCCCCTCCCCTCCAGGCGCCCTTGGAAGGGCCTGGAACAAGCGGGCCTCCGGGAAGGGGGGGGCCCAGCTGCCCCTGCACCTGGTGGGAAGGGGCCATGATTCAGAACTGCAGCCAGACCCCGGTGGCCGCTTCATCGAGGGGGATGAGAGGCTGCCACGCAACCTCTTGCGATGACACCCACACTCCCAGGGAGCCCCAAGACCCTCAACTGTCCCCCCACAGGCTCCTCTGCTGGGACAAGTGGGGCCACTACCTCCCACTGTGTCTGAAAGAGCAGAGGGTCCACAGCAGGAGCTCCTTGGAGAGGCCAGCCCTGTGGACACAGGCCCTGTAGATGCAGGGCCCGTGGATACAGGCCCCATGGATGCAGGCCCAGTGGACGCAGGCACCGTGGATACAGGCCCCGTGGACGCAGGCCCTGTGGACGCAGGGCCCGTGGACGCAGGCCCAGTGGATGCACGGCCCATGGATACAGGCCCCGTGGACACAGGGCCCGTGGACGCAGGGCCCGTGGATGCAGGCCCATGGATGCAGGCCCCATGGATGCAAGTCCAGTGGACACAGGCCCCGTGGATGCAGGCCCTATAGATGCAGGGCCCATGGACGCAGGCCCTGTGGACGCAGGCCCCGTGGACACAGGCCCTGTGGACACAGGCCCCGTGGATGCAGGCCCTGTGGACGCAGGGCCCGTGGACTCAGGCCCCGTGGATGCAGGGCCCATGGACGCAGGCCCCATGGACGCAGGTCCCGTGGACGCAGGCCCCGTGGACGCAGGCCCTGTGGACGCAGGGCCCGTGGATGCAGGCCCCGTGGACACAGGCCCGGTGGACACAGGGCCCCGTGGACGCAGGCCCCGTGGACGCAGGGCCCGTGGACTCAGGCCCCATGGACGCAGGGCCCAGTGGACGCAGGCCCTGTGGATGCAGGGCCTGTGGACGCAGGGCCTGTGGATGCAGGCCCTCCTGTTTTCAAGGACACCACACCAGGAGGCACACTGGCCCAGGGTCCTCGAGGGAGGGGCATTCACACTGAGACACGCTGGGCCTGTGCACGCCCGCCCGGATCACCGCATCCTCTATGCCGTTGTGGGAGGCAGTGTCGTAATGGAACCGCAGCCACTAATTAACAGTGACCCGGGCCTCAGTTTCCTCCATGCAAGGAGGGGGCCGGTGAAGTGATGTCTTGCTCAGGGAGAGGCCAAGGCGTGGAGTGGGCTGGGGGCCCTAAACCGCCCGAGAGAGACAGTGACACGGCTGCCTGGCGCTCGTGTCCTCCAGAGGATCTTCAGGACCCAGCCTGGTCCCCGGCCACCCCTCCTCGTCAGGCTGAGGAGCCCACTCTAGATCCCCCGCCCCGATCCCACCAGCCTGTCACCCACAGACCCCCACGCCCCTGCAGGAGGCGGAGAGGCAGGCCCAGGACCGCCTGCCAGTGTCCCTCCCGGCCCAGGCTTTGGCCTCCAGGAATCGCTGCCTCAGAGCCTTCTCCAGGGACAGGCTTGATAGGGGCCGGGGCCACGTCGACGCCACCCTGAGGAGGCCCACGTGGACTCCCGTGGCCCAGGCCTGCTGCCAACGCTTCCTTTGGGGTCTCTGTGTGGTGCCC